CCATCTTCGAAAATCCTGTCCTTGGAACCCTTCCAGTTTAGCGAAGTTACTGGTTCTGTCCTTCGTCGATTCACCGTTCGTCATCTTCAACGAAAATATTCAATCTTTGTTGGGGAAATTAATGATAACTTGGATGAATCGAGAGTTGTGTAAACACTTTCAGATTGAATATTTTGGTTGTTCACTCCAAAATTCAATCGGATAAAACTCGAAAGTATCAAGAACGAAATATGAGAATTGCTGTGTCTAAAACCGAACGAAATTCGACCATGCCCAGGGGAATTTTATAGACTAGGGGTGAGAAGGAGAAGACACCATTCGCGGCTATTACCCAAAGCACGCAACTCTTCGCGCGGAAGTTTCTTCTTCAAAATTCGGTCCTATCCATCGAAATTTCTTTTAAAGAAAATTCGAAATTATGATTCTAATTGGACCCCGCAGGGGCTGCCGCCCCTTGAACCCTGCTCGGGGGCGCTGCCCCCGAACCCCCTCCAAGGGGGCGCTGCCCCCTTGGAACCCCCGGTGTAACGGGTTTTATATCGTAACAAACTCAATGAAGCGTGCACTCCGCACCTCCAAACTTCTTTGATGATTATTAGGATACCATTGGTCGTAGTTTTTCCAATTACACTAAAATATATAACACGTCGATCACAAAAGGCTGACATTAGTGTCCTGTCACTACTCCGTTAATGTCCATTATCCATGATTTAATGACTTTTGTGGCTTCACTCTAATAATATCTAAAATCATTGTTAATGTATACATGTCCATTGTCAAGGCATTAAAGGTTGAAAAAAATACATTGTCGCAATTATAAATGTTCAGTGTATTAGTCAAACATCAATGCCCCCAATCAATAAACGTTTATAATTTTTATAATGTCTCATGTTCATAATTTTTACAATGTTACAATGTCTCTCTCTCTCTCACACATACACACAAAGAGAGATCAAGATAGAGGAGAGAACGAAATCCATATAGCGAACAGCGTTGAAGAAAACATATAAAAGAGCAATCAGAAATTTTGTTGAACCATGGGAATGAGTATATTTAGTAGCCCGAGGTATTACAGTGCATGAGACTTCGCAACCAATCAATTTTCACATAAAGTTACTGAGTACGTACAGGAGGACAGGGTTTTTTTTTTTATCACTACAAGAAAATGAACAATACAAGTGAAGTCCAAATGTACGAGCTCAGAGCCGCTCGACTTCAAGGAGTGTGTGTGAGAGATATATATAGATAGGCTTGCCATGCCATTCTTCCCGAACCCATTTTGGTGGCGGTAGAGCCAATTCGAATGCAGCAATAATAAGAGACAATTTTCACCAAAACGGATTTTGATGGATCGATCTATCTCTCAAAAATGCTAATAATTGCAGAAGAGTATCCGGCCAACTGTTTGAAACAAGCAAGTGATGCAGGGTTAAAACGATACTCGTACTTTTTTTTTGAATATTGCATTGCAATAGGTTGATATTTATTTATTGAAAACTGTCAAAACTTTTGCATGAACACCATTAGGATGTTGTTACCTGAGCAAGAATGCTCTTTCCTGTATGCCCTTCAATCACAAGCCCTGCTGTTAGACCAATCATAGCCCAAGCACCGTTTATAGCTTCTATTTGACGCCGCCTCTACAAAAAAAATGTAAAACGAAATCCATAATTACGAAAATGACACCAACGCCTAGTTAACTTTATCGGGCAAGAGGGAAGCCACTCACTTTCAGTCTCTGTTTGGTTTCAATTTCCTCCTTTTCTTCTGCAGCTAATCGCTTGGCTTCCAAAGGATCAACCATGATCACCTCTTTCTTTGAGCTCCTGTTCCTTTGAGATGCCTATAGAGATCCAATGTTTTTTATATACGTATAATACAGCAACTGCAATGCCTTATCCCAAGATCCAATGGTTTTTTATTATATATAAAAGCAAACTAAGAAAAATGAGAAAATGAAATTTAACAAGGAAAAGAGCATGTGATTATCTAAACGCAGGTTTGGTTCATGTCAACAGATCTCCATAATATGACCATGCTACAGACACGTAGCAAATAATGGCATGAAACACCTCCGTTGGAGTTGAAACATGGCATCACAAACTATGCACCAACGTCTACTAAAATGTTCAAACACTTGAGCAATGATGGTCGCAATATGTTTTGCCGTTGGTAAGCATTGCGCATACTAAACTGTGTTCAAACAAGATATTGGTGGACCTAGTTTAGAGTATTACTCCTATTGCTAAGGTGTAAGGAATGGGGGAAATTGTGACAGTGCATACATTAAGCTTGGCAAGGAGACGAATTCCCTGCCTCTTGGTCCCTCGCGGTGTTAAACGGTTTTGTCGGTGACTTCCAAACTGTTTCCTATTGTAGGATAAATCACATGAACAAACACGCAAATAAACAACAATAATCATAATGCAGTTACACATCAGGCCGGTACGAATGCATGTAAACCAGGGGGTGTGTTTGGAGCTCAAAAAAGCCAGAGAAAGAAAAAAAAAGAAACTAGAAGCCCAGTAAAATTCCACAAAAAAGTAGGGTATGAAGGCCTTATCTCTACTCAAAAGAATAGAGGCTGAGAGAAATTATACTTTGCACGCATTTTGGCTTTAACTTGGAAAATGCAAAGGAAAACTTATACTCCGGTATGATTATACGAATATGGGACAAGTGGATTCCTGATCAATATGGTTGAGCTTAAATATGATCAAAAACGGTTCGCCCGGGTCGGTAAATTGCTGAAAATTTTAGTGTACCTTAGTTTTGCTTGTATGCCCGAATTTCGTCTGTATGAACATATAGCTTCACACCGAAATCCACCATTCCAAAAACTATAAATTTACTCTCTCCATCCAGTCATCCACAATAAGGATTTCATTGGCCACTTTTCAAAATGAAATATTTGCACTAAATAGCACTAAAACTTAAGTCATTTCCTTAAATAGCATTTAAACTATTTTATTCTCTAAATAGCACTTAATAATGTCCATTGATGAAAAACATTTACTTGAATAATGACTAATGGATAATGACTAAAAGTGCTGCATTTGAAAAAAAACACATGTGATGCTATTTAGGAAAAGTCATTATGTTTTAGTGCTATTTAAGTAAATTCCTCTCTCAAAATAGCTCCTATTTAAGGAAAGATGGTAAGATAACAACAACAAAAAACAAAAACTCCTTAAATTTAGATTGTTCTTCATTTATATTAAAAAAAAGCATATATATATATGCTTGTTGGCAGTTTAGAGGGCTTTTTATAATTTACTAAATCTGGGCATTTCTAAAGTAACAGAGAAGTTTATTAGTCCAACACTCCATTTCTTGTACAGAAATGAATCAATCTGAGATTTTCCTCTATTTGGAGAATTGATAATGGTAGAATCAATAATAAATTGGAAGGATGAGAAATTGATTGCGAAGCTTACTTGCGAAGATCGGAGGGAGAAAAATGGTTGGCTGGTAAGTGGAGGCTTCCAAGGGGCGACGCAGAGAGAGTCGCCATTTCCCGGTCTTATCCCTTTTTTGGTATGAGTGTTTTTTGGGGGGCTCACACGCAAAGTGCTGAATTTTAAGTGTACTTATCTAACAATTTTCAAATTGTGATTAAAAAAATTCAAATGGTTTTGTACTTACAATTGAAACAATTTAATCAATGTACTATTCTTCATGAAGCCTAAAGAGAGTTAGAAATATGATATTCATATGTTTTGATATTTTTCTCAAACATCCATCGCTCCCACTAATCACTCCCCGACAGCTACATCAGACTGTAACCAACAACGATATCTCTTCAAACACTTTCATTTTTTTATATTTTAAAACTTATGTCATTTCTTCTAAGCTTCAGAATTCATACTTTGTATTATATTCCCTTCATGTCTATTTTTCATTATAAAAATTGAGTTAGTCACTCATTCATGCCAACAATTCTCATGCCTCATTTCTAGGATATTTTAAACTATTCTCGTGACTTCTTTATTGAATATAGAAAGATAGACAACTATTCCCTAATTCGGGTGGACAAAAATAAGAAAACTGACAACTAAATACGGATAGAAAGAATAGTTAATTGTGGAGCATAGGTGTTCCATACATTCATACAATAAGCACAGTTGGTGATAATATAATAGACTAAAATTTTGTCCTCAATTTTGCTTTCTAAGAGGACCTAAATATGTCTGATGAATAATGCCATAATGTGGGTGTCCAAAGAAATGGCATATGCAGCAAAACCTAAAGGTGAACCATCATTCACAGGCAAGCAAAGTTCATACCAATTTCACAATGCCAATGCATGCTTAAAACCACAGAGTGGTTTCGTAATCCCCCCTAATTGTCGGAGGGGGTGGCACCAAGACATCTCTGGGGTGGAGAGATGGTCTCGACGACTGTCAGATTCTGTTGTGCTATCGTGATCGTTGTCTCAGAACAGGAAGGGGGGCAAGCAACATGTGTTATAAAGATTGATGAAAAACAGAGATAAGTTCATAGCTTTCCATATTAAAAACTTTCCTCCCCTTTTTTTTTCTGAGACACATTCCTCTTGTATTCACCCTTCATCTCTGTTAATTTCTGTATCTGATGATTTTAAGATGAACAACAACAATAACAACAAATCCGTTCATCTCCGAGAAACAAAGAAGCAAATGTTAAAACTCCAGAGAAAACAACAACATGGTACACCTAATCAAATCCTGGATACTGCACTTGCTGCCAGCAAATATCTATATGTTCTAAGAAGCAGCTATGCTTTGGATTTACTTTCAAAAACCATTCAAATCCTACTCAAAGAAAGTTCATCTATTCTTGATCTTTCATACTCTTTAGCATTAGAGATTTAAAAAACCCTCCTTTTTTTTCTTTTAAGGAGGGTGTGATTCTACAAGTGAGATAATCAATCAGCAGGCTCAATTCAGCCTTTGGGTTCATTAGAACATTCAAAGTGCATATAATCTTTTATCCATTCAATGTAAGAACAAATATTTCAGTCAATGTATTGCACTGCTCCATCTTCTCCATGATCATCAAGTACTAAGTACTCCTTACAGATATTACAGTACATGTCATCAGCCTAGATATACATAAATATTCTTCACCAACATTCTCAGTTTCTCCAAACTAGGCATCAACATAGCCAAGAAATTGAAAATGGAACACAGTCAGTGCTGAACATCATGAAGGCTTTGTTTTGTCAACTTTAACAGAACATTATGAACATGTCCCCATCCAAAAAAAAGCTACTTACTATCAGAAAAAGAAGAAGAACAGCGAGAAATAGAAAAAGAGAACAGATTTTGAAGATAAGTTTTACAAAGAAAAAAGAAAAGACTAAATAAATGCCAAAAATCTAGTTTGCCCTGTTCAAACACCAACTACCCACCATGTCTTCCAATCTTCATTGCTCAAACTGGAACCACTGGAGTCCAATTCGACCCGGGTCCGACAAATAGGGCAATTGAGCACTTTCCCCAGCCAATGATCCACACATTTCATATGGAATATGTGATCACAAGCTGGCAGCTTCCTGCACGGTTCATCCTCCTTGAAGCTATCCAAACAAATTGCACAATCCTTGGGCAGATGGGCAGAAGAGGAGTAGCTGAGACAGGGAAGGCGGTCCATCGGATCAGGAGGGGGAGACGTTTCCGCTGATGCTCGGGGAGAATGGCGATCTCGACGACGGCGTCTGCGGCGGAAGGCGGTGGTGGTGAGGAGAAAGTGGACGAGGATGACGGCGGCGAAGCCGAGGAAGAGGAGAAAGAGGGAGAGTGCGAAGGCCATGATGACGCATTTGAGGAAAACGAAAAGGAGCTTCCCTGGAGCCGAAACCGAATTCAGCTTAGGCGGTCGCTCCGGCGGCGATTCTAGGTTTCCTTGCGTAATAATTGGCATGTGGCGGCGGCGACGGCGGAGTAGAATGATCAGGATTCGGCGGTGAGGGAGGGGGTCAAAGAGAGGGACGACGGAGCTTTGAAGGGATAAGAAAGTATGGCGGTGGCGTAGATATTTTCTCGCACCTCGGAATAATAATTTTTTTAAATACGCAATAATTAAAGAAAAGCAAAATTGGCAGTACGGAAAAACCGAAGAAGATGGGCGTACACAGTTTTATCGGGAAGATAAGCCTTATTAGTGGGCCTGCAGGTCAGAATATGCTACTCCTCAAACCCATTTAAAAAAGGATTATGCTATGGTGCCAGTACATGGGTGCATTCATGCTTCACACAGACAAATACAGACGATAATTGTTTGTGCGACACAAACAATTATCGTCTGTGTTTGTCTGTGCGAAACATGGGTGCACCCATGGTAGCACCCATGTGGTGGCACCCTAGTATTTTTCTTAAAAAAAGCATGAAAGCCCACTCGGCGCCCCTCACCCCCGCCCGAGGTATAGTGAGAAGGAAGATCTTACCGTGGTCTTAAGAAAGGTCGTTTCGTGTTCAATGTGAACAGACAATTATTACAAAATTATACAATCCTTTAAATATAGAGAGAGTTATAACCATGCTCATTGAGCAACAAAGGATTTTGTAGTTCAATAATGATGGGTGTATTCCACCCACGACCGGTCAAAGAAGAAGACCGATTAGTTGACCGGTCAATCTCGAAAGTTTTGGAAGGGAGACTTAAATCGTCGGCAAACTACGTTTGTCATCCTACGAAAAGTGGAGACTTATATAATCGGCCAAAAGATGACCGGTATACTCTACGAAAAAGTATACCGGTCAAACTACGTTGTCATCCTATTTGTTCCCAGACTTCGATGAATTCACCCCTCGGAGATTACCCGGTGTAGTTTCTAGGGTTGGAAAGTGTCGGCAGAAGAGAATCTATGAGGCTTGGCGTGTAGCGACCCATGTTAGTAGAGGACAACTGGAGATGCTGGAAAATCCATCCAAGGCACTACTCGACAAAGGGAATAATCCCCCTCACAAGGCGACAAGGCAGCTCAAGGACGAAACCAGTCACCTCGCACCACATCAGCATCGTGCCCCCACGTGGGCGCACGTGGTCCTGTCCCCTTAGCCTAGTATAAATACTCATGTAAACCTCAGAAAGAGGGATCCGAATTCATTCTCCCTACTCCCTTGTAAAAGCACCCGTGCAAACTCCGTTATAATATAAATTGGGCTCCGGTGTTCCACCTAAAAGTCCTACTGGTCAATCTGCGTGTTTTTACCTTTCTTACTTCGTCAAATCAAGCAAACTATTCTAGACCCGGTCTAGCATAGTTTGACCGGTCAAGTAATTTACACCATCAAATAACATTGTTGTAACTCTCTTATTCAAAAGATTATGTGTTTGGTCTTCGATGATAGACAATAACTTTATGGCTTCATGAATCCTTGAGAACTAGTTTTAGCACACCTTGTGTGTCGCGATATCTGTCTAGACATTCATTCTTAACGGCTCAAGTGTCTTATGACCAAATCTAGTAACTTTTCCTCCATTCTAAATTTTATCAAGTACTACTTTGGAATCGAGTTATAAGTGTTAAAACATACATGCTGATTATTGATAATCATTTTATTGATTTTACTGATTGCACCTTATGCATCATCATGTTTCCAATTACCTCGGGCTATCAGTAGATTTCCCGCTTCCACAAAGTCATTGCAAGCGAGACATCTATAATTGATTCGACTTAAGAGATAATTCAGTGGGCTGCTAGAAGTTCATATACTGATAGAAAAATCTTCCATCTCGCCTCTACAGTGATTCAAAATTAAAACTTCTCACATCCTATTTTTAGGGATGAGTCCGTGACGGTTCAGTATTTTTAAAGAACTCGTAGCATATTGTTAGTATTCAAATGGTTCAGTACGGTTTCGTTTTTACGACTAAACCCATTCAGCACCATGTCGTTCATTAACAGGATGGTACCATGTCATAGTAACGCAAAATCATTCCGAACAGAACATATCTTATTGATTTTTTCAAACGGATATTTGATTATTGACTATTCGAAGAAAGCACATGGACTAAAATAGTAATTGACACTATTTTTGGGATTGAGGAAGTAACTTAAAGTACCATAATTTGACTTCTATCTCTCTTATTTAAAAGGTTATGTGTTTGGACAATAACTTTATGGACTCTAGTAATCCTTTAATTAGAACCAGTTTTAGCACACCTCGTGTGTCGACATGTCTCTCTAGACGTTCATTCCTAACGGCTTTATGTAAGCCATGGACAACAAATTTTTTCATTATATGGACAATATTTCTTTCATTGACATAAGTTTCATGTTCATCTTATGGATTTTAGTTATGAAATATTTGCACTAAATAGCACTAAAACTTAATCATTTCCCTAGATAGAACGTAATTGTTTTATTTTCTAAATAACACTTAATAATGTCCAGTGATGACAAACATTTAATTGAATAATGACTAACGTATAATGACTAAAAGTACTACATTGAGAAAAAACACATTTGATGCTATTTAGGGAAAATCATTATGTTTTAGTGTTATTTACGTAAATTCATCTTTAGTTATTTGTAACATTAAAAAAGTGGCTTTTTGCAACAACAAAAAATATCTTTTTACAAACCATAAAAAATGTGAGAAATGCCACATTTAAAATGTGATCACTCTATATGTACTTTAGTATATAAATACTATGAATGAATTAGACTCATACACACACTAACTCTTATAGTAAAATAAATCATGCATGCTCCATTTTTTCCAATTCCTTCATATTTCTTTCGGTCCTAAAAATTTTTTAAGTTTTGATTTTTTGTCAAACAGTGATACTTTTTTACTATAAATTTTGAGAAAAGTATATTGGAGTATAATATAAATTCAATGTATTTGGATTCATCATAGGATATATACTCCATAGTTTTGATATGTCAAATTTTTATAACATTTATTTATTTAGATTATGTTTCATTTGTGACCAAAGAGTGTCACTCTTTTACTAAAGAGAGTAAAACATGAAGAGTCTTTAGGACAGGAGGGAGTATATTTAACTTGTTATTTTCTGTATATTTTGTTTTTTCACAAATTGTACTCGGTATTTAATAATATTTGTCTCGCTCACACTCTTTTTTAACATCGGTATAAAACTAATCCGTGCGTTCTAAAATGATTTTCCCAGTTCGATTTACGAGGTTTGACAGAAATAATTTTCAATTCAATTTATTTATTTGATCATACATGTAAAATTAAAAAATAAAAATTATATATTTTAAAACTACATCAAAAGTTCTACAAAACAAAATGTGATGAGAAGACTATACTATTTTATCAAATAACTAACAAAAAATAGATAAAGAAAATGATTAAGGTTTAATATTGTCTAGAAAGATAACTTATTTTAGGATGGAGGGAGAAATAATTATCTTCATACCTTTTTTAAGTTCATGAATTGTTTCAAACTTTTGCTTCCACATACATTTGAAAGAAGAAGTGGGTTGACGTACCTACCATGCTTATCATTTTTCATCCATTAACACGAATAAAAAGGATCAAATAAACCAATTAAAGATAAATAATTATGGAAGGGAAAGGAGTATTTAGGTAGTATTTTCATATATATACCTTTTATACGGAGTATATTATTAAAAGGCCATTCAATGAATTGAATGAGCATGGATGCATTCAATTTCGAATGCGGACTTCAATTTGGGCGTTGTATATATAAATGGAGCCTGCATGCATGCGTTGGTCTAATATCATTAACTAAAAAAAGGTGCATCATATCAGATCAGAGAATTATGATGATGATGATGATGATTATGGAACTCATGATCCCCAATAATTATGTCCTAATAATTGGTGGCATTATTCTCTTCATCATGTCTTTTGCATCTTCATCCCTCCCACTAGTGGTAGCAAAACTCAAGAGAGAGATGAAACAAAAGCAGGTACGACGACGGCCCCCTGCAGGCCCATGGAAGCTGCCAGTCATTGGCAGCTTACACCATGTCCTACTACTAGGCGAACTCCCGCACCGCTCCCTCACCAGACTCTCTCGAGGAAATACGGGCCCTTGATGCACTTGCAGCTCGGCGAGGTGCCCGCTGTCGTTGCGTCGAGCCCCGAGATGGCGAAAGCCATCACCAAAACCCACGGCCTTGCATTTGCCAACAGACCCAAACTCAATGGTTGTGGATTTGGTCTACTACAAATGCACGGACATCGCGTTCTCCCCGTACGGGGATTACTGGAGGCAGATGCGCAGGGTGTGCATCTTGGAGATGCTCACCACCAGGAAGATGGTGAAGTCGTTCAACGCCATCCGAGCTCCAGAAGATGGTCTCGTCTATAGAGCATCACGCGTCGTCGTCTTCGTCTTCTCATCCTGTCAACCTGTTTGAGAAGGTGATTTGGTTTAACAGCGCGATGACTTGTAGGTCCGCGTTCGGGACGACATTGATCGACGGAGATCAAGAGAATTTCATCGGGATGATGAGGGAGGTACTCACGTTCGCGGGTGGCTTCGAATTGGTGGACATGTTTCCCTCCAGGAAATGGATCCCTTACGTTGTCGGGACGAGATCGACGCTGCTCAAATTGCACCGCGAGTTAGACAAATGCTACGAAAGCATCATCGAAAAACACGAGCGGAACGTGCTCAAAGATGGATGCAAGGGCAACAATGAAGCTGGAGAGGAAGACATTGTCGATGTTTTGCTCAGAATAAAGGAAGATGAGGAAGGACGTCAGTATCGTTTGACCCGGGACAACATTAAAGCTATCGTCAATGTATCAACTTTTTTTCTTCCAACTTCTTTCCGTTTTTTATACTCCCTCCATCCCATAAAACCATTCTCCTTTTTTTTTCATTCGTCCCATGAAACACTTCTCAATTCTATTAAAAAGTCACTTTTACCCCTTACTTTTTCATACCCTACCTATCACATCATACTTTTTTACTAATAATCTACCCATCAAATCCTACTTTTACCCATCACATCAAAGGACATTTTTGGAAATTCAATACCAAAATACACTCCCTTAAATCCCTTCAAAAAGCAAAACATCTCATGTTTCATGGGACGGGGAGTATATAGCACAATATGCATAACATATACATGCATGCATGCAGGACCTATTCTCAGCAGGGACGGAAACCACAGCGACGGCGGCGACTTGGGCAATGACTGAAATGATGAGGCATCCAAATGTTCTGGTGAAGGCACAGGAGGAAGTTAGAGAAAAGCTAGAGGGAAAGGCGACATTCGAAGACGACGACATGGAGGAGTTGGCATACTTGAAGGTGGTGGTGAAAGAAACGCTGAGGCTGCACCCCCCGATCCCGCTCTTGCTCCCGAGGGAAAGCACGGAAGAAAGGGAGATTGGGGGGTTCGTGATACCCGTGAAGACTCGAGTCATCGTCAACGCGTGGGCAATCGGGAGGGACCCGAACACGTGGAAGTACCCGGACTGTTTTTGGCCCGAGAGGTTTGCGTACCATGATGCGGACGTACACGGGAACCACTTTGAGTTGATCCCTTTTGGCGCGGGGAGGAGAATGTGCCCCGGGTTGGCGTTTGGGTTGGCTAATGTGATGCACTCATTGGCCGTTTTACTGTACCACTTCGACTGGGAACTGCCACGTGGAGTCACCCCTCAAAACTTTGACATGAGCGAGACCGCTGGATTAAAGGCAACCCGGAAGAACGATCTTTGCTTGATTGCTAAGCTGCCATACCCCAAACAATAATTATCTATTTAATAATCATCTTATTAATTTGCTTCAATTCCTTAATTTCTTATTCCTCCGTCCTTCAAATAATTTTCCCTTTCATTTTTTTGTTATTCCCAAAAGATTTTCCCTTATCGAATAAAAAATTACTTTTATACATCACATTAAAGAAGGTATTTTTGGAAAGTTAATACAAAAATATTTCTTACTTAATTTTCACAAAAGTTAATAAGGTTAGTTGTTGTTAAATCTGTTTTCCCTTTCACAAGAAGCCGACCGAAATGTTGAAGCAGTCCGGTTTTGACTTTTTGTTGTCAAACTTACTTACTTTTATCATTAGTTTCTAAATAATTATCGTGATGTTTAAAATTAATACTCCCTCTGATGGTGTAAATTATCGATCGGTATATCGTTTTTAGCCCGGCTAAAACGATAAACTAGTCTAAAAATACACCAAAATATAAACACGGGGATTTTGACGTGGAAACCCAAATCTGGAGAAAACCACGGGCCTTTTTTGGCGGTACCTTGCCAACGGGGGATTTTTATTAATATCGGGGGTGTGTACACGGTACAAGAGTTCGGCTCGAAAGCCATTAATGGTGGAGCTAGAAGCTCTTTAAAGAATGAAAATGCACAATAATCTAGAGAGAGAAACGAAGTGGGCAGGGGAGAGTGTAAAAATTGGCCTCCCTCTTCACATTGGGAGCACCCCTCCTTTTATAGGAGGGAGGAGGAGCATATTCAGAGGAATATTCTCTTATTCCTTCATTTTATTAAACAGGTCCGGTTTGGCTGTCCTTCGTAAATAATTGGGAAATGTGAGCCGAGCCACGTATTATTTCCCATCAAGAAGTCCTCCACTTTTTTAAGTTGTGAGAATCATCAACTTAAAAAAGTAAATAAGTCCTCCGAGTGCTATCTTCAATCTTCGTACTTTGGATTCTTGATCGGTTGATATTATTGCTAGTCCTCCGAGTCTTCATTATTTCTCTAATTTCTTGAATTAGAAGTTTTTCCTGCAAAAACTAATATGTACAACAACATTTTTTTTTTTGACCGGCCTATGCCGTGCTCAAAAAATTATTATCTTTACCGAGGAGCTCGGTGTTAGGGTGGTTAAAATTCGCGTGAATAATTATCGTAACAAAAGTGATGTCAGTTCGATAAAGCAACGATGCTTCGAGTAGTTATACGACACTAGAGTTAGTACGATGAAGCGGCGGTGCTTCAAGTAGTTATTTCGTCGAGACCGATGTTAGTACGGATTAAGTAAACGATACATAGCGAAATTAGTATATCGAAGTAATCGATGTTACTTAATACGAATTAAGTATGTTGCAGCAACTTTGTCGAAGATCGATGTTAGCCCGGCTAACTGATGCAAATATCTTCATGTCATGTAGAGACCACTTCCGGAGTGCCTTGTTCAAAGGGCCTGAAGAATCGGGCGTCCCCGATAAGGGCTCAGCTGAGCCACCGGTGTACCCAATTCGATTGGGGTCAGACTTACGAGAAAATATGTGCAAGACCGGTGTGTATATCATTCTTGGCCTGTCTCGCACACAAGAATGATATTTACCAGCGTGCCAGGCCGGGCCTGTGTAACATATTTTATATTTTTTTATTATACTGAGCAAGACCAGTGTAGTAACCAGCGTGCCAGGCCGGGCCTGTGTCTCAGTCTTTCACTTTTTTTTTAATACTGAGCAAGACCGGTGTTGTAACCAGCGTACCAAGCTCGACTTGTGTCTCAGTCTTCCCTCTAAAGTTATCGCAAACCGATACATGATCGATACATGATCGGTCTATTCAACTGGACAATATTTTTTTGAGAATATGTCAGAGCTCATTTGTGGGGCCATCCTGATTCTTGCATTATTACTCCCACTTGTTGCCACTTTGTCCTCATTGATACACTCCATTTACTTTAACACCTTTGCATATTCTCCGTATAAACATTCTGATTTGTAAGCATTTGGAGCTTTTCCCATGAAGTGCTCCACTGATCAAGGATAGAAGTGGGTCCCCCAGAAGCAATATACTCCACCATCTTCACTGAATGAATAAACCACGAGAGTATTGGGAACAAAATGTTTGAACCACATATTTCATAGTTCAAAATGATGGGCCCTCCACCAGCTAAGCATGAGATATCTGAATCAATTATTCATGCATCCCACATGGTTCCTCTTTGTCTTTTCCACTTGTAACTTAACTCGCCTTGTTTATGCCACTAGTTCATGCATTGTTTCCAACCAACCACCACTTGTGTATACGGTGGTTTTTCTGATAGCGGCGATCGGCAGCTGCAAACCGTGACTCCACTTACTAATTATAAGTGGTTTTTTTATTCCCTTCTACAACTAAGATTGCAGCGACAGAGGGTCAAGCTTCAATATTAGGTCCATCAATGGCGGTTGTCCGTAGTGGCAGCATCCGAATTGAAAGTGGACTTGAACATCTCTCATAACGGTGGTGGACGTCTCCAATCGGGGAAAGAGACTGATGATAGATGGTCGACCTAGACCATGTGGGCAATCGACATGTCCTTCCTCGTGCTGCTTTATCCAAGCAGAAAATTGATCAGACCTAGAAAGGATCCTCCCAAGGCCATCGCGTAAAGTCCCGGAAACAGCAGCGACATATTGATGCAGTCACGGTGGTGAAGGGCTTCAGCATCCCACATCAGTGATGGTGGCTTTAGTGATACGATGTTGGCGGATTGGAGTAACCCGATAACAGGAAATCTAAACTTCAATGGTAGAAACCATGGTCGTGGCTGAATTCAATTTGCCCAGAGCATATGAGCAACCGTGGTGATATACTCTGGCCATGCTAATTGAATTTCGGCAGCGGTGATGGTTTGCTTCCAGTGGTGGGGATGTTGCCACATCCTGCGTTGGTGGCAGAATTTAGAAGTAGCAGATCAACGACAGACATGAGTGGTGATGTGCAGCGGAGGGTGATGGAGATCACGAGGCACCAGATGGTTGTCGGTGACGAGAACCATAAACTCCGGCGGTTCTCGTCCTCCATGTCTGGAGACCTGGCAGTCTATGAGCGGCTGCTATGTGGACGGCATATGCTGTCGGTCTAGCCGCAGAGCAAAATATCTCTAGTATGTGAGTGTTAGTGTACGTACTCTGTAGTGGCCCATGGTCTCCGTCAATGATCAGCGAGCGTCTTGAGGGATGGTGGTGACCATGGTGCATAAACTTTGAATTTCAAAGTTAAGAGGATATAGATCCAAGGGAGGTGCGGCTGTGATGGATCTCTCTTCCATGACTTCTTGAAATCAGTTTGACAATGAGTATGAATCTCCATTTTTTGGCTATTTACAGTGTAAATCCCCTTTTTCCCATTTGTGATGGATTGCTTCCCCAAAATTCTTTGATTATGGAGTCTAAGCATGCACCTCCCTCCTTTTCAGTGAGCCCAATGAACCATAACATATCAACACGGCTAACATAGTAACATGGCTATTTGATCTGGTCCCACGGGTGGCGCCAAAAATGATGGTGTAAATTACTGGACCGGTCAAACTATACTAGACCGGGTCTAGAATAGTTTGCTTGATTTGGCAAAGTAAGAAAGGTAAAAACACGCAAATTGACCGGTAGGACTTTAGGTGGAACACCTGTAGCCCGATTTATATTATAACGGAGAATGCACGGGTGCTTTTTCAAGGGAGTTTAGAGAGAATGAATTCGGATCCTTTTTCTGAGGTATACAAGGGATATATATACTAAGCTGGGGGGGACAGGTTCACGTGCGCCCATGTGGGGGCACGCTGCTGATGTGGTGCGAGATGACTGTCCCTGATCCGTCTTGTCATCTTGCGAGGGGGATTACCCTCCTTGTCACGCTCTGGTTTGGAAATATTCCTCCAGCATCTCTGCAACGCCAACCACTACAGTCCAAGCCTCTTTTGGATTCTTCCTGCCGACGCTCTCCGATCTTCGGAAACTAGACCGGGTGATCCTCGAGGGTTGATTTGGCTAACTTCGGTGGACGAATGTGGGCGATGGCGTAATTTGACCGGCATACTAACCCGAAGTGTACCGGTCAAGTCTCTGGTCAACCAACCATCCCTTTGCTGATGATTCAGATCTCATTCCAAAGTTCGACCTTTCTGACCGGTCAACTATCTCGTCTTGGCCTTTGACCGGTCGTGGGTGAAATACACCCATCACCCTCCGTTCCACTAAACCCTTCCTCTTTCGTTTTTTTGCTTTCCACAAAACACTTCCACTTTCTATTAAAAAACCACTTTTACCTCTACTTTTTCATACCCTACCTATCACATCATACTTTATCACTAATAACCAAACTATCACATCTTACTTTTTCCCATCACATCAGTGGCAAAATTGGAAAGTCAACCAAAATTATACTTTCCTTATTTTTCCCCAAAGTCAAAACCGGAAGAGTTTTGTGGAACGGGGGGAGTATTAGAATAAATACTTTGTTCGTTATTGATTTATCTTATAAAATATTTTAGTGTTGATAAATATTGGTTATTGATCACACATCTTTTCTTTAGTATCCATTTTCCAAATCGCATAAGGCTAGGTAGGATACTACATACATACTAGGAGTATTATATACGTACTACGTATAAGATGCTCGTAGAGATTTTGAAATGCAAAAATTTAGGTAATACTCCAGTCGTCCTGTTATTTATATATATGTCTCATTTCGATTTATATGAACAAATCTTTTTACAGAATTAATCTAAATATTAGTGTAGAACTTAAAATAAAATACAACTTGATTATATACTTCCTTCGTCTCATAAAGTTCTTCACGTTTCAAAAAAATCGTGTCCCTAAATATCCTTCTCATTTCTATTAAAAAATCATTTTTACCTCTTACTTTTTCATGCAATACATATCACGTCATACCTTTTTTCTAATAATATACATATCTCATCCTACTTTTCACATCAAATTTTGTTTTAGAAAGTCAACACAAAATCATCCCTCCTTATTTTACCGCTTTAGTCAAACCGTTCCTATCTTTATGGGACGGAGAGAGTACTTCATTAATCCTGCAAAATATTGTTTGTTTTAACTTTTAGGATGGGAAGCTAAAGAAGCTAAGCTTGACCAAGATGAAATGGCGATTATTGAAACGAGTAGAGCTCAGGAAATGTTAAAATGAGTAGGGCGCAAAAGGTAATTGGCGTAAAATATTTTCTCAGACATGTAAGATAAGAAAGTTTAAAAGTTTTATGAGATGGAGAAAGTATAATACTCCGTATTTAAAAACTACATAAAAGTTTTGCACTATTGAGCTTGGAACAAAACGAAAAACACAAAGATAAAAGAATACTTTATGTAATGCGACTGAAGTAGAAGATAATAAACCGGAATGAAATAAGAAATATTTGCACTAAATAACACTAAAACTTAAGTCCTTTCCCTAAATAGCACTTAAATTATTTTATTTTCTAAATAGCACTTAATACTGTCCATAATGTCTAGTGAAGACGAACATTTACTTAAATAATGACTAATGAATAATGACTAAAAGTGCTATATATGTGAAAAAACATATGTGGTGTTGTTTAGGAAAAGTCATGTTTTAGTGCTCTTTAGATAAATTTCGATAATACCAATATTTTGAAAACCGGACTGGACATTGAACCGGATAAGCCATTGGGTCAAGAGTTAACCGGTCAAACCTAGTTGACTTGGGTCAACGACCCATTACTTAGTATATGATATTCATATTTTTGTTTAGATACTAAAAAATTAAATAGTATTATATCTCGTTGACTATTCTTAAAGATAATAAAATATTATCACATAACTTAAATATGCATATTATTTCAAAATAATACGAAGCACACACTCCCTCCGTCTAACTTTAATCTTTCCATTTGAATCGGGCACACATATTAAGAAAAGATGTAAATGTTATTTTCAATGTTAAATAAAATATTTAAAATTGTATGCAACGTCATTAATTAGGTTCCTAAAATGTTTTCTAGTACTCTAATTATTGTCCCTTTTATGTTTTCCTCAAAACATTTTACAACGGTCGTTTCCTTTGGAAGTATTTTAATTAACAATATCCATTACTGAACATTATGAACATTATTAGGTGCTATTTAGGGAATAAAACAGTTTAAGTGATATTTAGAGAAATGACTTAAGTTTTAATGCTATTTAATGCAAATATTTCTTAATCAATACTCGTTAGCATTTAAAAAATTTAATACTCTCTGCATTGTTGTAAAAAAGGGGAATTTACGTAAATAGCACTAAAACATAATGACTTTCTCTAAATAACATCACATGTATTTTTTTTCAATGTAACACTTTTAGTCATTATGTATTAGTCATTATACATATAAATAAAATCAGATATACCCTTTCCATCTCAAATTAAAATTTTCTCACCTATTCATTTTTAAAGACAAATTAAAGATTCTTTGGAGAATATTATAAAATAAAATAATATTAGAAAAATAAATTCTGTACGAGGTAGAAGAAAAAAGAACAGAAAACCTTTAAAAAAGAAGAAAAAGATTTAAAAACTACATTAAGTAAAATGAAATATATACAATAAAAAATAAACATATCAAATTAAAAAGTTAAACTTATTTATTTTTCAGTATGAAAATAATTATTTTGGGGTTTTAAAAAAATGAAGAATTGAAAGATGAATTAAAATACCGAGTAAAATAGAAAGGCATTTTTTTTTATTTTTTTGTTTTTCTCATTACCTTTTTCCATTTGTTTTTCTTTTACTTCTTGCAGAGTTTTTTTATTTTTTCTTTTATATGTTATTTTATTTTGAAATTAATTTAGGGAGCATTAAAACATATTCTCTGTCTCTAAGTATTTGTCTATTTTGACTTTTTTGGTCAAATAGGGACGGAGATGGTAAGAGTTAACTTTTCAAAATAGAAGGAGGTGTGGCCACCCCTTTATAAATGTATTTTTGGTATGAATGTAATGTTTTAATTTAGTGTTGAGTAATTTTCTTTTTCAATCACCATGCATGTATGTACCTACAGAGTTTTAGTCTTTAATAAATTCATTTTTCCCAAAATGACCTTGTACGTACAATTATACATATACGTAACGGAGCACGTACTTGTTTAATTAGCTTGCTAGAGCACTCCATGCATGCATCCATCTCCAGCAATGAAGGCATCATCATCATCAGGAACAATACCTGCAGTACTGGTAATAACGGCCAGCATCATTGTCATCGTCGTGTCTTGCCTAAGGATGAGGAAAAAGCGACGGGGACGAGAACGGCCACCGCTGCCCCCGGGCCCCAAAGGGTGGCCAGTGGTAGGAAGCCTGCCGGAGATGATCATGGCAGGGCGGTGGGGTAAGATGACGCCGTCGAGGTGGATACTGAAGCTGATGGGTGAAATGGGGACGGAGATGGCGTGCGTGCGTCTGGGAAACACTCACGTCATCACGGTCACCTCCCCGGAGCTCGCCACCGAGTTCTTGAGGAAACAGGACGAGTGTTTCTCATCAAGGCCCACTTTCACGTCTCTAAAGCTCACCACCGGCGGCTTCAAGACCATCTTCTCCATGCCCCCGCACGCCAACTGGAAGCGGATGAGACGAATTCTGGCTTCCCACGTGCTCTCGCCCGCCGCCCACGACTGGCTCCACGACAAGCGCGTGGACGAAGCCAACCATCTCATCCGCTTCCTCTACCACCATTACCACACCACCTCTGGATCGCCCGTTAACGTGAGGGCCGTGGCGCGGCAGTACTGTGGGAATGTCATCCGGAGGTTGACCCTCAGAAGGAGATCATTTGATAACGACAACAACAATAACAACGACAACTTATGGGGACCGCAGGAAGAAGAGCACGTGGAGGCATTCTTCACCCTCCTCAAATACACCTTCGCCTTCGGCATTGCGGACTACATCCCGTGGCTCGCCCCGTTGGACATCGACGGTCACATTAGCATCCTCACGAAAGCCGTCGACACGGCGAGAAAGTACATCGACCCCGAAATCGACGAGAGGATTCTCATGTGGAAGAACGGAAACAAGATGGTGAAAGAAGACATGGCTGACGTTTTAATCACCCTCGTGGACGAGGTCGATGGATCGCCACTGCTCACCCACCACGAGATCAAAGACCTGGTTTTCGTAAGTACATACTCGAAGCACATGTACTTTTTTTGCACTTATAATTGATCATATAAATTTGAGCTTTTGACTGAATTGATGAGTCATTACTTGAGAGACGACATTATATTGAATTTGATACTCCTTCCGTCCCTCATAGATCTTCTCAATAGCCCTTTTTCTTTGTCCACAATAGATATTCTCATTTCATTTTTTAACAATTAAAATACCACAACTGTCCCCACTTACTTTATTTATTACACCTCACACACCTCATTTAATACACTCCACCCATTTTCATTAAGGGTATTATGGTAAACATTCACCTTTTTTCAACTCTCCTTAAAAATCACCAAAAGTCAAAATGAGAACATCTTAGGGGGACGGAGGGAGTATTATATTTGGTGCATGCATGCATGCATGCATGCACGAAATGATGATAGCAACAATGGACAACCCATCGAACGCTTTCGAGTGGGCGCTGGCGGAGATGCTAATAAACGGCCGTGATGAAATGCTAGAAAAAGCAAGAGAAGAATTGGACAGGGTGGTGGGGAGGGAGAGGCTGGTGGAGAAGTCGGACCTGCCTCGCCTAAACTACGTAAAGGCATGCATAAGGGAGGCATTCCGACTCCACCCCATTGCTCCCTTCAACGTCCCACACGCATCCACGAGGGATGCGGTGGTGGGGGGTTATTTCATCCCCAAAGGGAGCGTGATCCTGGTTAGCCGTTACGGGCTTGGTCGGAATCCGAGGGTCTTCGAAGACCCGCTCAAGTTCATGCCCGAAAGACACCTGGTGAATAATGATGAAGAAGAAATGATCAAGTTGGTGGATCCAGAGTGTAGGATACTGTCGTTCGGTACGGGAAGGCGGGGGTGCGTTGGTGTGCGGTTAGGTACGGTCATAACGACAATGCTCTTCGCTCGTCTTCTCCAAGCCTTCACCTGGCCGGACCGCTCCCCCCGCCGTTCCTGTATCTCTAATTGAATGCAAACAAGACTTTTTCATGGAGAATCCACTTCAAGCCGTCGCAACACCTCGCTTGCCTAATCATTTGTACACATTTTAACTGCATGCCAATTGGCTGGATTATTATTTCATTCGATCAATTCTTTTAGCTGGAGATTATGATATTTTACTTCTTACTCATTCCCTCTACCTATCACATTTTTTGCCAAATTTTAAATCCATAAAAAAAAGTTCAAAATTTGATATAGATGTTTCTATTTGTATGTTAAATCCTTTTTAAAAGTTTCATATCAAAACTTTTTGGTCAAATTTGAAATCCATCGAAAAAGTTATAAAATTTGACATGGGATGTTTTTATTTGTATGTTAAATCCTTTGTAAAAGTTTCATATAAAAAAGATTCGTCAATAATGTCTAAATTATTACTCCCTCCGTCCCTTAAAAAAGTTCCCGGTTTGACCTTTTGAGGATTTAAGAGAAGTGTATTTTGGTGTTGACTTTCCAAAAAGGCTTTTTGATGTGATGGATAAAGTAGGATGAGATGGATAGATTAATAGAGAAAAAGTGTGATGTGATAGGTAGGTTAAAAATTAGTAGGGGTAAAAGTGACTTTTTAATAGGAAAAGGGAAGTATTTTTTTAGTTTTGGGCTCAAGCTCCAAGGGTACAATCACATTTTTGGCCTTGAGGGGTACATCCAAGATCAATTCTCCATGGCGAATAGACCATGAGCGAATCATCTAAAGAGAGAATTGGCAAATTGCAAACATAACGGACAATCAGTTGTCTCATATTTTTCTAGAATAAAAAATATATGGGATGCATTGAGTAACATTGAAAAGAATCCGGTGTGTACGGGTCGCAATTGCAAGTACAAAATCACCAAAATTATTGAACAATAGAAGGAGAATAGAAAGGTATACCGATTTCTGATAGGGATGGATAATGAAGGCTATGGAGGTTTGAGTTCAAACATCTTGAGTGTGGAACCTTTGGCACCCCATAATCGTGTCTACTCCACAATTACTCAACAAGAAGAGGTGCTAAAAATCACTCAAGAAGAAGATAAAAAGTTGATTAGTTTCACAGTCAATTACAAAACTGATCGCAATGCAAACAAAAATATAAAGTACAAACACTGCAAGAGAACAAGACATGAGATCAACATGTGTTTTCAACTCGTGGGTTATTCTAAATGGTGGGGCGATAAACCTCGGCCTCAAAGCAATAATCGAGGAGGAGGGCACGGTGGAACAAGTCATAGTGGATGACAAGGAGGTCGAGGAGAAACTGCCACACGGGGAAACCGCACGAACAGCATCAATGGTTCTAGCGGTGGTAGTGGCTCTAGTGGTCATATGGCCTTCATAGTAAAAATGGGAGAATCAAGTGGCAAACGGGAGCCATTTACTTCTAATCAATGGAAGACTCTGATAGGAATGTTGAAAGAGAAAGAAATGCCTCTTGAAAACAAATTCTCTAGTAACTCGATCACTTTTTGAATTATAGATAGTGGAACAAGTCAGCATATGAAAAATGGTGGCTTATTACCTCGAGGACAAAAAATAAAAGTTGCAAAATTTAGTGGGATAAAAACACAGATTATTTAGGCTCTAAATTTGGAGGAGGATCTTTGTTTTTGGAAACAATGAAATTTTACAAGAATAATTTTTTTTAAAAGGAACAAAATTTATTAATTTTACATGACAAAGCTTATTTAACCCAATAAAGAAGAGAAGTTAAGTTTGGAATTGATAAAAAGGAAATGTAACCTTTGCATCACTTTGGCACTGGGGAGTGTATATATATACTCCCTCCGTCCACAAATAAACTTTACGTTGCGCGTTACGATGTTTGACTGAAGTTATTTTTAAATCATTTTATATAAAAAATGGTGTGAAATTTTAAAATAAAAATCACATATTAAAAAACTATATCAAAAGATCTACAAAACTAGAAGTGTGACATGATTATATATTATTTTATCAAATGGGTAACGAAAATAGACTGACAAAGTAAATAAAGTTTAACTTTATGAATAGTGAACGTAAAGTTTATTCGTGGATGAAGGGAGTATATATATATGTGCGTGTGTATACCCAATAATTTATATAACTACTGTGTGGTTAGGACTTAGGTTTGGAAATGGGTTCGGATCAGAAAGTTTACGGGTTTGAAGAAGTAACCAAACACGACCAAACCAATGATTGCTGGATTATCATCCATGGAAAGGTTTTCTTCTCCACTCTTTTCGTCTTCAATGAATGGAATTCTTGTTTTTTTATTCCAAATTCAAAACCTTTTTGAATTCACAAACTCAATCAAACCCAGTTTTTGGATTGAAATCTGATGTTTAATATCAATTTCGCCAAACACAGCTTTAATTATCACCAAAATTTCTTCTGTCCTTACTCGATCTTATGTGAGATATCTATGCTTTTATTTAGCTCTACTGATTTTCACAGTTTGTTTGTTTGTTTTTTAAGGTGTATGATGTGAGTCCATTCATGGTAGATCATGCGGGAAGCGAGGTTTTGCTTGCAACAACTCGTAAGTAGTGATGTTTAGGCTCTGTTTGGCAGTGTCATGTATAGCTTAATTGCTCTTGCTCATTCCCTTTACTAAAAATAGCATTTTTTTTAAGCAAATAATCTTCTATGCATTGTCCAATTATATGTTTCAATTGCACCAAATAATGTTATTATAACAACCATATGTCAATATATATTCCATTGACGGATCGGATGAACTAACAGGGAAGGATGCTAGCAAAGACTTTGAGCAGGTCGGGCACAGCGAGGATGCTCGAAACATGATGGACAAGTATTACATTGGGGAGATAGACGACAGGTCCACCGTTCCGTCAAAGCGCCTTTACACGGGTGGCCCACGTCGTCCCCAAGCTCAAGACGGTATTAACTCCCACTACAAGAACCCGGATTTCGTGATCAAGGTTTTGCAGTTCCTCCTCGTGCCCCTCGTGATTTTGGCATCGGCATTTCTGGTCCGTTGATCTCTACACCAAGGAGAGAAGTAAGATGGGGATATATGGCTCTCTTCCAACCCTAGATTTGTTTTAAAGATGTTGTGTTCAAGTTGATTTCTGTCTTTACATTGTGTTTTTGAAATGTTAAAACTAATTACAAAAGTTTTTCCCCCATATTTTGAGTAGCGTTTCCGTGAAAAAAAAAATCTATTGTAGCATGTGTAATTGTGTTTATTGGCTGCGTCCCATGTTTTGAGAAATATATATCCAAAGATAAATATAGAAAGTTAATATTTCATCTCTAATTATTTTACATGTTGGGTCAAACCAAGGTTCTATTGGGTTGTGGTTGTTGTTGTGGGTCAAACTAGGAAAAAACTTGTTTATTGCCTGCCTTGTCAAAAATATAATTGAATAAATTACGGAGCATAAGAATAAAAACCTTGTTATTTAAATAAAGGCAAGATCTCTGATCTTGAGAAGTTGCTGTGAATCACCAAGTTTTGGTGGCAAACAAGGCATCCATAATAGGAGTAGTGTATATCATTTGCTCTGCTCCCAAATTTATGACTAATAAGTCTTGAAATATGCAGATCTCGAAGGCTAAGGAATATCTCCACATCTTGCCGATCGAACAACACAAGGGTGATTGCTGAGGCTAATAATATATCATTGATGCTGTAACTGTTAAGCTTCCAAACCTTTGAGTGAACCTATTGCCGATACAATTCAAGCAAATTAGTTAAAGATCCAATGGAAATAATCAAGTTGGCAATCACAAGTTAGATGGGAGCTTATCTGAATGTTGACGAAAAAAATTGAAGTGTCCAAACTTTAAATCGGTCTGAGTTCTGAGAGATGACATATCAGCTGCACAAGAAGCTATTCGAGGGAGGCTGTGGTTGTTTCAACTTGCCTTCTGAATATCATCCCCTCCATGGGGTCTAAGAAGTCTTCCTTTCTCGGGTTGTTTTAACTTTGCCTTCCAAATATGAATTCGAGGGAGGATATCAGTTTCTTTGATCAGGGAGCACAACTGAGAACCACATAATAGGCTTCCTTTCTCGGGTGGCAATAGAGTTGCACCCTAGAGGCCGGGTGGTGCTGATTATGAATCAATTATATTCTAAGACAATGGGAAAAATTAATACCATCATTTGCTGCATCTCTAGCAAAGCCGATCACGGAACCACCTCTGTCTGAAGAGGAAGGAAGACCTGACCCCATCATCAGGTGTGTGCTCCTATTTGTTAAAGCTTGTTGATGAAAACTAGGGAGAGTTATAGTTTAAGAAAAACCAGCATTGTGAATGTTGGGGTGATTTATGGATTCCACTAATGAGCCAAGTTTGAAGAACCCACTCAACGGAGAGAGCTAATTATAAGAAATTTCCAACACAATAAATCAACACTTCAGTTTCGTATTACCCACAAGAGTTCATGCAATTTTTTAATCCCCCTCTTCATCCCAAGTTAATCAGAAGCATCCATAATATGTAACATAACCCTATTAGATGTCCAGATTTTGAGGCCCCTATAACATTCCAGCATTCTATCATGAGTGATCCCACTTAACTTTATGGAGTGAGTGATCCCCACATGTCCTCATCTCTTGTTTTTTTTTGAGATTACAAATATCTATATATATATATTGTTTAATTTAATTAAAGACAAAAATATTCTGATTTATTTCATTAAATATAATGCTCCGTAATTTATTTTAACTAAATGGAAATATTTTATTAGCGTCAGGGTTATAGGTTTATTGTTATACAAGTGGGTTTATAAAAGTTTATGAGATTTAACTTTTGAAATGATGTTGATGTAGCAACATTAAACTTAATTTTGTAGGTTTACCATTACAACCACCCTTATCAGATTCCAGATATTTGGAAGAGCTCTAGATTGGGTGGGAACCTTTGGAGATATGATCTCAAGGATTTCGAGACGCACCTTTAGAGATGGTTTTATCTTTCGATTCCCGTGATTTCTAAGTCTCTATCGGATGAGTCGGAGATGGTTTTAGTAGTAGTAGTGGGAGGTGTGTTCGGGTCGGGGCGGGTGGGGGCTTACCGGGGGGATTAGGTGGGGTAGGAACTGTCAATTTTACGAACGGGGCACCGGAGCGCCCCCGGGTCATCCCATGACATTGGAAACCAATGTCATGGAAACCAAGGGGTATGATTATTATTATTATTATTACTATTACTATTACTATTACTATTACTATTATTATTAGTGCGGTGGGTTCTAGTGCCACTGGAGTACGGTGCCACTCCGGTGCCACTGGCATTTTGGGGCACCTCCGGTGCTCCGTTCGCAAAATTGACGGTTCCTACCCCCCTACCCAAACCCATCCCCTAAACCCCCCACCCTACCCCTGCCCCTGCACCCCAACCCCGCCGTAAGCCCCCCACAAAATGTGTGATTATTATGCGTTCATAATAGCCACACATTTTTGTTGTTGTGGCTATTACTCCGCAGTTCTCAATTTTTAAAAATTACATCCTCTGTTCGGAATTTTTTTTCTCATTCTTTCTTTTTTCTCGTCTGGAAATAAAGTACCATTTCTAATTTTAATATACATTCTTCCAAAAATACCCTAACCCATTTCCTCATTGTTTCCCTTCCATTTCTTTCTCTATTCCCAGATTTGCGTGCAGGTCTGGTGTGGCGGGGCTGGCAGCATCGGAGCGGTAGTGAGGCTGGTTGGGGGCAGGGGCAATGCTGACATTGGAGTTATGCAGGGGTATTTTGGACATTTTCATTGCATTGTCAACTCTTCTTTAAAATGACCAAAAATGGAGTATTTCATAAATAGTTTTTTTAGGCAAAATCTGACAAAATATTTTATCCACAAATAGTCTTCGAAGGACCTACTACAAAATAATTTTTAATTTTTATTATTATTTGAATTATTATTTTTTGAAATAATATTATTATTTTTACCGAACAAATTATAATATGAATAATTTTTAAATACGAAAGAAAAACATATTTTTCGTGGGTGTGTCTAAATCCTTGCACACAAGTTTATTAAATTCATTCTCTAGATGTTAAATATCAAATTTATAATGGTGAGGGTGGAATTAGCAAAGATGGACGAAAAGAAGTAGAATTCCACCGAATGAGTAAATTTCATCAAAAAATATAGGATCTAAGAGTTCTTACCAAAAAATTAAGGGTTCTCAAAGAATATGTTATTTTGTTCTAGAGAATGTGGGACATAAGAGTAATTCTCAAAAAAATTGAAGATACCCCGAATTAATTTTCTAGTTTCTTTTTCGGCCTAATAGCTCTAAACCCCCTTGTTTCAATACTTACTCCTAAAATCCATATGGTTTCTAAAAGCAGCGCCTATACCCTCTCCACCGTAGTTTTTTTTCATTTTTTTTCTTTTTTCATTTCATTATTTCCTTGTTTTCATAAGGATTTTTCAAAAATTTCTTTTCAATTTTTAATAATGTTTTCATAAATAAATGATATAAAAAAGTAATATAAACTATATCGGTCTCAAATTCATTTCTTAATCTTTTTCAAAATAAAATAAAAAATTGGGACATGTAAATAAAGAATAGGAAATGAAATACAATAAAAGAAAAAAATTATACAAAAAGAAATGAAAAACTGAATAAGATAAAAAGTATTATAGACAAGAGAAAATGTCACCGTCTTAAAAATAAAAAAATGACACTTTTAATGTTCTAAAAAAATCATTTACGTTGTAAGGAACATTGAAAAAAATAAAGTTCATTGAATGAAGAATATTTTAGTCATAATAAAATAAACTGATCGCATGGTAGCCCTCTATGATTTGAAAATGGAGCACCAATGCCTCCTTTTATCAAATTTCCAGCCCATCAATGGAGCGTATGATTCACGCGCCACAAAAAATCCGGTGAAGGGGGTATAGACACTGCTTTTAGAAACTATATAGGGATTTTAGGAGTAAGTATTGAAAACATGAGGGATTTTGGTGCTTATTTTTCAAACCACAAAGCGGTTTAGAGCTATTAGATCTTTCTTTTTCCTTTTTGCCCTTTTATTCGCGTAACGTCTCGGATTGAAATTGGGCCCATTTAATAAGCCCGTAACATTATGGATCTCCAATCCATGGAGATTCGATTGAGTACGGACAAGCCATGGACATACTATGTCTCAGACACTTTTTCTATGAACTCAATATTGAACACTCATTTTAGATGTCATATTATGACACAAATTTAATAATTTGACCCCGAGTTAACTAATTTTTGAAGGTTCAATTTACGAGGTGAGGAAGTGTGTTTCAGTTGGGCCGAGGTAATCATTAATTTTTTGAACACATCATAGGGCTCTCAGTTGAGCGAATGTACTATTATCACATCCAATGAAAGTGTAATCAGAACCCCACATTTGAATATATATAATAATGTACACTTTGGTTCCCATGACATTGGACACTCCGGTGCTCCGTTCGTAAAATTGACGGTTCCTACCCCCCTACAAACCCCCGCACCCCGCCCCGAACAAACCCCCCACCCCCTCCAATTGCACCCCACAAGTCGATTTTGACTTTGGAGTCAAATTTTGACTCCAAAGTCAAAATCAACTTGTGGGGTGCAATTGGAGGGGGTGGGGGGGTTTGTTTGGGGCAGGGCGGGGTGGGGGGGTTTGCCGGGGGGTTAGGGGGGTAGGAACCGTCAATTTTACGAACGGGGCACCGGAGCACCCCCGGGTCATCCCATGACATTGGGAACCAATGTCATGGGAACCTTCCCCAATAATGTAAATTATATTCACATTATCCTAAATGAAGTTTACACTTTTTTTAAGAATTTTAAATTTTTATAACTAGCCCTTGTCGGATCAGACAACGGGTAGTAATTATTGATTTGAGTTAGGCTATGTTCTCTTCAACTTATTACTTTTTTTAATTAGAATCATATTAGATCAATCTAGATCAAAAATAATTTTAAATATAATTATATTCAGATCAAATTAAATAAGACCAGATCAGAATCATTCAGATTGGGTGAGGAGAACATGATCTTAGTCAGATTAAAACTAAAAAAAATTGAATGTTGGAACTTGGAACAATTAGTTTTACATTTCAAAGTACTCGTTCCGAAAAAAATATAAATATCGAATGACGATAGATATTTAGAACAATTGAATAAACATGACGTGACTATGAATACAAGAGAGACTAAAGTAAAATAAGATTTAAGGTCCGGCACATATTTGTCAAAGAACCAATAAATATTTTGGTTTAGAATTGGTTATGAAACTGCAAATCCCTTATAAATGAAGAAAATATCTTTAATAATAATCAAAGTGATAGACCGAAACCCCCCGGGTGTGTATTTTTTGATCTATACGATATATGTATAAAATATGAAAAATATATCGACAAGAATATAGACAATAGACTTTTGACGTGGAAACCAAATCGGTGAAAACCACGGGCCTTTTTCGGCGGTACCATGCCAACGAGGATGTTTTATTATATATTGGGGGTATATTTGTACAACATATGGGCGTGATAGCCATTGATGGAGCTCGAAGCTCCATCGAGAAGAAGATGATGAACGGAGAGAATACAATATGTGTGAAATGTAGAGGGTGGCTCTCCTTTCTTCTTGAATTTGTGCCCCTTATATAGTATCATAATGGGAACCTAGGGTTAGGATTCCCTAGTGGGCTTCTCTTGTGGACCGGCCCAATATCTTTAATTATGCCCGAGGGATATTATCCCATCACAAGCCTCCCAGTTTCTTAGTGAACACGAAGTCTTGACTGAGAAACTATAATTTATTGTCGTCTCTTTGAATTTCTTCAATCGACACACCCTTGCAACAGAATCCCTTGAAGCTTCTGCTAGTGTAGGCACAGATCTTGAATCCTTAAGTTTCTCTTCTTTTAGTACCTAAAAAAGTTAAAAACATTTGCCTCGTCGAGCGACTACGAAGTCCATGAGACGACTTCGTTGTGTTTCGAGGAGAGGACTTTTAGGGTGTCCCAACTGAGGGACGCATGTTGCTCAGGGGAGACTTTAGTTGCCTCGCAAAGTGGTCGAGACCAACTTCGGGAGAGGACTTTAAGAACCTCAAAAGATGAGGGATTTGGTTGCCTCGCAAGGTGGTTTAAGGGCCGACCTCGGGAGAGCCTCGTAGGACGAGGGCTTAAATGAAGCCTTTCGAGGTGGTTTAGGGCCGACCTCGGAAGGGATTCTGATGAATATCTCATGGAGAGGTTGTATTTGTGAGTGTTTGATTAGGTGCCACTTTTGTGGGCTTAAATAGGCTTTGCCTATTGTTTTATTTGTTGCATCGATGACTTGAGAGAACGCACCCACTCTTCCCGGGGTGTGAACTCTTAGGACTTAGCCAAGTGTAGCATTTCTCTGGTGATTTTCACACAGTTTGCTTTTGGCATCATCCAAAATTTTTGAGTTTTTTATGGCGTGTTATGACGTGACCTTCCACCGTATGAGGTGGTTAGCCTTCCTTTCTCAATCTGGAGGTCAAACGCCAAACTCTAATAGACTGAAGATTTTATGACACAAAGTTTGGAGCGGGCCTCATATTGGTCGTCTTTAGTGTTTTTTGTTTCGTGAGCAAGCTTTTCAAACAAGTTTCTCACTTGCGAGCACGTCGCTCGACGAGATCTTCTCTTCCCCCTTTTTTTTGTTTGCCACTGTCGGGCTTTTTACAAAGGAACACGGAAAGGTAAGCCCATATTTTGTTAATGAACTACTGCAGCTGACCCAACAAAGGAATTGGGCGACTATGAGATTGCTTGCAAGGCGGCCCATACACATGACTGTACAAGTCTGAAGAAAATCCATTCTTCGAGTTCGCAATTTTCTTTTAATAATCCGTAAAGTTTGAAGCAAGAACTAACGAGAAGCCTCATTCTCTGAAGTCCCAGTTATAAACCCTTCTTTTGGCAGGAGCAGAGGCTGGCAAGGATGTTTTTCTCTAACTCGTGGTGGAAAATGATCCGCGGCGGAGGTGCGTGCAGGGCGATGCGATCCACGGCGGTGTTCAGGGGCACCATCATCTATATGGAGCTCTACAAGATCTGATCTTCAACAGTGACAATTGGAAGTTTTGCAACCTAGAGGCTGGCTCAAGGATCTGCGGCGGCCAGCTGAAAGCAACCAACGACGATCAGTTTTGAGGCTAGCCGCGGTGGTCAGCAATGAGACGACCAACAGCGGTTAGGCTACCAACGGCGATGAGCGGTGAGGCGACCAACCGCAGTCAGCGGGGAGCGACTAGCGGCGGTCTGCGGTGAGGCGACCAGCGGCGGTCAGCGAGGGGCGACCAGCGGCTGGCAGCGGCTCTTCGGGTGACCTCGCAGCTTTGAGAGGACCCACTCGCACCTCCATCGTGGTTCTAAAATCCCACAGTGAGTGTTGTAATCGGACAGCAATTGGAGATCCGACCACCTGTAGGGAAGGTCGTGGTGGTCAACTATACGGCAACCCGCAGCGGTCAGGGATGAGGTGACCAGCGGCAGTCCGCGACGATGTGAGCAGCGGCCGTCCGTAGAGCGTCCGCAGGGCGATGGCTACTCTAACGGCTGCGGGCTGACTTAGATGTAATCTCCAACCCCGAATCTTAAATCCGGCTATAGACGATCAAGATCTGGCCGCGGAGCACAATTCCTTCATGTAATTGCAGGAGTTATTAAGCTTCATGTGATTCCAATGATAATGATCAAGAACGAGCAGGAGATCCGGACAAGAGTAGACACTGGAAACATCAGGTGGCGCCAAGAACCCCCGAGTGTGTCTATTGTTGTAGAGACCATTCCCAATTGTCTGTAGTCGTGTATGTTGTGGTTTTAGGGCTGCCATAGTCAGGCTAGAACTTCCACTCCTGATGGCGGTATTCATGTCCGGTGACCAGCAAGGGGAACTGGATCAACAGCCCGTTCGCGCCTCATTGGTCTTCAGTCGCGAGAACCTGCCTAGGATGTGGAGGCCCAAAAACCTCACCAAGAGAGTGGCCTAGCCGATTCCACTCGCCCTTGTCCTAACAGCGGCAGAGTTGTTGCATTGCAATGGCGGTGAGCTCTGCGAGATTTGGTCATTAATGGCAGCGATCGGAGGTCTTGCGACCCAAGCACTCGCTCAATGATCAGCAGCGGTCATCCATAAGGTGACCAACGGCGATCAGCCTTGAGGGCGAGCCACGGTGGTCATCTGTGAGGTGAGTGTAGCGTTCTGCCACGAGGCGACCAGGGTGGTCAACGACGATCAACAATGAGCCGTCCAGGGACGGACTGCTGTGAGGTGACCCATGGTGGTCAGCAGCATGGCGATCTGCGACGGTCAGCAACGAGGTGACCCGCGGCGGTCAGCCGTGAAGCGACCAACGACGGTCAACAATGAGCGACCAACGACGGTCAAAGATGAGCGACCATCAGCGAAGTGACTCACACCACCCGTGGAAGGCGTAGTGTGGCAGTGGCGACCAGCGGCTCTTCAAGCGACCTTGGAGTTTTGAGGGGATCCACTTGCACCTCCATTGTGGTCCTAAAATCCCACAGCCAATGCTGTAAGCTGACGGAAATTGGAGATCCGGCCACCAGCAGGGAAGATCGTGGCGGTCAACGACACTGCGACTCGCGGCGGTCAAGGATGAGGTGACCCGCTGCGGTCAGCAGAGAGGCGACCAGAAACGATTGCCGGTGAGGCGACCCGTGACAGTCAGTGATGAGACGATCGACAGTGGAATCCGGCAAGGTTCTCCAAATCTACTGCTCCTCCTCTAGATCCTTGCAAAATCCAGTCCCCAACAGGAAACCTAGGAAGGTAACCACTGTCCGCGGATAAATCAGCGCAGAGCTCTGACGGAAGATGTGTTTTTTTGTGAGGAGTCATGCTTCCACCCGTATGTGATGGAGGATATTCCATGAGCATTATCTCTCCTCTCAACGAGAGCACCATTTGATAGACCAAAACCCCCCGGGTGTGTATTGTTTGCTCTATACGATATATGTATAAAATATGGAAAATATATCGACAAGAATATAGACAATAGACTTTTGACGTGGAAACCAAATCGGTGAAAACCACGGGCCTTTTTCGGCGGTACCATGCCAACGGGGATGTTTTATTATATATTGGGGGTATATTTGTACAACATATGGGCGTGATAGCCATTGATGGAGCTCGAAGCTCCATCGAGAAGAAGATGATGAACGGAGAGAATACAATATGTGTGGAATGTAGAGGGTGGCTCTCCTTTCTTCTTGAATTTGTGCCCCTTATATAGTATCATAATGGGAACCTAGGGTTAGGATTCCCTAGCGGGCTTCTCTTGTGGACCGGCCCAATATCTTTAATTATGCCCGAGGGATATTATCCCATCACAAAGGTAGATGAGATTATGAGAATCGAACTCTTGATTCTATGATTGAAGGAAGAAGAACTCATGGCAATAATAATTGATTTTATGGAATAATGAATGTTTATATATATATATATATATATATATATATATATATATATATATATATATATATATATATATATGTAGGTAAATATAATATGAAAACTAATGCTCCCTCCGTCTCAAAAATTATCTTCTGTTGTTTATAAGATTTGATTGTAATTATTTCCAATTCAATTCATTTGATAATTGATAAGGAAATACTACGTAAAAAAATAAAATAGTCAGGTTACCACTATTTTGTAGATCTTTTGATTTAGTATTTTAATATGTACTCGTAATTTTTATTTTTTTAATCATATACCACTTTCCATATAAAATAATTAGAAAATAATTTTAGTCAAACATCGTAAACCGAAACAGACGATATAAATTATGAAGGATGGAGTACAAAACAGGAGGTCGCAAGATTAGATTATTTTCTCAAATGGGGCGCAAAGGGTCAATAATTTGATTAAAATATGACTTTGGGAATAGTACAAATGCAACTTTAATAGTAGTTGAGATAAATTAAGTTTTAATAGGGGAGGGTTCATTCTCAAGATTAGTAGCTAGTTGTTGGGATGCAAACCACCTCTGAGATAGGAGGAGCAAGAACAAATAGACTTGGAGCTGAACGGACATTATCATATTAACATGAGATTGGAGTGCGAGTAAACCCAATTCTAACTCTAGCATTGAATAGAGTTTTGAAAAGTTCATATAATTAATTAAGGGGAAGACTTGGAGTTGGAGACAATGATACATGCAAGAATTAGTCTAGTGGTACACCAATATGGGTACCCTATTTTTACACCAAGGTAACACACATACACAGTAACACATGTTATGTGCTGCACAAATGTTATGTATCTGTATGTGTCAATATTAGTTTCTTGTACAAATAAGGTACTTGATGGGAACCAAGCCCATCGAGAGAATACTAGCGAATTGGGCCCAGGCCCAATTTAGATTCCGTCCATCAAAAGGAGTGTCCAACCCAGAGAAAATATATTGGGCCAGTCAAGGGAAGTTATCCGTGAGGAAAGATAGGAAAAAGGAAAAGGATTGGGGGCTTAAGAATGGGCTGAAGCCCAGCCCACTAAGAATAAGCTACCCCAAAGGAAAGAAATCGTAT